TGTCCTTTATTTTGTACATCAGGAAGGGGGGCTAGGGAGAGGTAAGTGGAAGGAGGTGAGAGAGGAATGGGGTACGAGCTCCCGATGGGGAGGACTGGGGTGGCTCTGTGGGCTTCTCGGGGTGGAAGCTCTCCTGAAGCCCCTTGATTGACCCCCCCCTCCGGATGGCAGCCTGCGGCAAGTGCAGCTGGGCTGATGGCCGAGTGCTGTGATGTGCCGAGTGTGGGCACTCAGGGCACTCCAAGCCAGGACTGCTTTGCAAGCAGGGAACCCCTGAGAACTGTCTGTCCGGGGTGGGGGTCAGGTCCCTTTAAGCACAGCCCTCGTCTAGCCTGAGGCAGCAGCTCCACGCTCTAAGTCCTAACCTGATGCCCTGCCGGCACTGCTTCCGGCCATCCTTAACCTCGGTTCAGGGTCCACTCAATGTGGACATGCTAGTTCGAATTAGCAAAATGCTAATTCGAACTAGTTTTTAGGTCTAGATGCACTAATTCGAATTAGCTTAGTTCGAATTAACTAATTCGAATTAAGTTATTTCGAATTAGTGCTGTAGTGTTGACATACCCTCTGTTCAAATTCTCTATTCTGTCCTGAGCACAATGCAGCCCCATTGCTGGTAGTGCCTCACTCCATTCAACTGTTGGTGTTTTATAGGACAGGCATCTGTAAAAGCTATCTAGAGGTAGAGTAGACTCTAGAAGTCGCTGTTGTAGATTTTTAAGAATCAAGTCTGTGTACTTTTTCAGTTGTCTTAACAAATACTTCTTATCCTCTTCACTTAAGGATTCAATATAAATGCCTTCATTAGCCAACATCTGGACTGAACTCTTTGCTTCTTCCAGTACTTTTTCAATGGATAGCTCTCTGATTGATCCAAATGTAGCTTCTATTGCTGGGCAAAGATCTACTTGTTCTGACCCAGTATGACCATTCTTATGTAAAAATTAATTATAATAATAAAAATGTTTAATACAGAAACTCCCCAACATAATGACCTCTCAAGATAGCAACGATGTGAGATAACAATCTTGGCCTACTAGGAAACACATTTATATAAGTTTCCATTCCCAGTCACAAATCTAGCATTCTGGAGCAAAGTCATTAAAATATAGTCCAACAAACAAATGTTTATTTAACGTGTCCCTCATTTTTCCCTCCACTTCACCCCACTCACTGGTGTTGTCCTTGGTCAGTGGAGACTCAGAGTTCAGAGGTGCTTTCACATGAGTACACCTCCCAGGTGGGGGGCAAGAAGGCACCTTGCTTGTTCTTCCAGCTGCTCACTGTTTGCTCTGGCCACTGTTGTTTGTTATGCCACCGTTCACTCCATCGCTCTGTTGCCAGTGGCCCTGCACCATCACCTTCTGCTGTCACCTGCCACTGTGACCTTGTTATCTCAGTTTGCAGTTGAGAGTTATAAGGTTGTGTGAAAGAAACTTGTGAGTTGTTATGAGTGCTGACTATATCGAACTGAGATATTGGTTCTAACTAAAGGTATTCGAACTAATAGTTAATTCGGACTATCTACATTAGTCCGGACTAAGGAAAGGGACTAGATAGAGGCTTCCCGCCTTTTTGCCCACTGCACACGGCACTAATGCTTTGCACTCAGCCCCAAACAGCTTTGCACTCAGCACCAAATGGCTTTGCACACGGCTCAAAATCTATGCACACCACCCGCAAGATTGTGCACCCGGCACCCTTGAGGTTTTCCCGCCTCAGAGAGTTTATATACCTTGGCTAAACAGGAGTTCTGGTTCTGGATTCTTCACTCCACCTGAGAGCGACTACCTTGATTGTTGATCCAGATCCATTTTTCTTTTGGTTCCGTAGAAGTTTTCCTTGTCAGTGTGTATGAGAGAGTGAAAGAGTATGAGTGTAGACAGTCATGTGTTAGTGTGAGAGTGGTGGGTATTTTGGGGGTTTTGGTGACCTGTGGAGTATTCCTGGGTCTGAAGACCAATTGGTTCCCCACGGATTTCATTCGGAGAGCGTAAGGCCTTCGACGGATAATCTACAGCCTGCCTACCATAATCCAGAGGGCTTGGTCCAGTGTCATCGTGGGACTCCTCACAGTTCCTCTGCCAAGGCTTGCAATTAGCTGCGGTATTGAGGTCGTGAGCTCCTCATCTGTCTACACCACGTGATTGTAAAGTATACTCCTTGTGTATCTAGGGATCTTTTCTATCTTCTTAATTTTCAGGGATAGGGAGGGAACTGTTTAGGAAATTATTACCTGCTGTTCTGTATTTCAAATTTTACAATATATGGTTGGGCCCCAAATTAAGTCTCTTGTGTCTTATTTCTGGGAAAATCCATGCCGGTGATAGATACGGCCTCGAGTAATCGGCCTCAGGCGAGCTCTCTTCTGGGACTTGGGACATTTAACATCATCTCAAGTTAGAGCGCGTCCAAATTAGGTTTCAAAATTAATCGTTACTGCGACCCAGGGTAACAACCTTTGTGAGTTGGTCTCTTGAGGTTCCACCCAGCTCTCAGTGATTTCAGCTGAGCTCTCAGTGGGGGAACCTCGCTGCTAGTGCAGTCTGGGCTGTCTCTTACACAAAAACACTGTACCCACAGGAACACTGTCTCCACAGCAGGACTAAGCACTTAGACCTGATTATATGTGATTTCAGCTGTAGTGGTCACTTAACAAAACAATGGAACCTAATCAGCTCTGTCTTTAAACAGTCCAGAGGGACAGGTCAAATAGTACTTGTGACTCAGACAGACCATCAAGCAAAACATCTGTCCCCACCCTCTCTCTTGATGCCCTCAATTAGTACAGGTTAACTACAGCCGCTCTCTGACTTACGAACCGGTTATGGACCAAGCAATTGGTCTTAACTCGGTTTGTTTGTAAGTTGGACCCCATTGAGTTACACGTGACCGTGCTGTTCGTAAGCGCAGATCGTGTTCGTAACTCGGGGTCCGCCATTTACGACAGTTTCAGTTCGCAACTCGAGGACCAGCTGTACAGTTCTACTGCCCTTTACTCATACAATAAGAACAACAACATTTCATTCCCTCACCCTCCCCTTCAAGTGATTTGTATCCCAACCCCAGCCAAAATCTGCGGCAACACAGCTCGCTTTGCTGGATACTTAGGTAGATTAGGTGTGAATGTAAATACAATCTGGTCCTGAAGCCTTTCCCTCCAGCCCCCAGCTCATCACTAGCTGTCAGGGAGAGCTCATTTTTACCTTGCTTACAAATCATAATTTGAATTATTAGGTCGGCCAACATTGCCAAAATGAATGTACTAACATTGTCATAAAAAACAACAGCTGTATAAGGAAGCTAGTCTATGTTCATACTTTTCAAATCTATTAAACACTTTCAGATACATATATCTTATCATACACTGAATATGCTTTTAAAGTGTGTATTAATGTTTAATTTAAATTCAAATTTCCAAACAATCACTGAACTGGCATAGTGATAGAAACTCGGCCAAGAAACACTGGAGACATTCCACACAGTACAAATCAGCAATGGAAAATTAGACACCACTCTCTACAGAAAACCCACCGACTCATACAGTTACCTACATGCCTCCAGCTCCCATCCAGAACACACCATACGATCCATCATCTATATCCAAGCCCATTGATACAACTGCCATCTGCTCTAATCCCACTGACAGAGACCAGAAACGTCAGGATCTCTACCAAGCATTTATAAACCTCAACTACCCACCCGGAAGAAATAAAAAAGCAAATTGAAAGAGCCAGACGAATATCTAGAAAACATCTACTTCAAGACAGACCCAAGAAAACCAACAATAGAACACCACTTGTCATCACCTACAGCCCCCAACTTAAACCTGTCCAACAAATTATCAATAAACTACAGCCTATACTGGAACAGGATACTAAACTCCAAGAGGCTCTGGGAGACAGACCCATAGTCTCCTAATGACAACCACCTAACCTCAAGATGATTCTTACCAACAACCACAGGACATACCACACTAATACTAAACCTGGAACTTTTGCTTGCAACAAACCCCGTTGCCAGCTTTGTCCACATATTCACTCTGCTGATACCATTATTGGACCTAACCAAGTGAGTTATAAGATCAAGAACTCATATTCCTGCTCATCCAGAAATATAATTTATGCTATCATGTGCCGAAAGTGTCCGTCTGCTTTGTACATTGGACAAATGTCTCAGACACTTCGCCAAAGAATCAATGCCCACAAAACAGATATTAGACAGGATCACAAAGAAAAAAGTTTCTTGCCATTTCAACCAGAAAGGACACCGTCTCAACGACTTGATTACCAGCATCCTGCTTCAAAGATCTTTTCAGACCACACTTGAAAGAGAATCCTCTGAACTGTCATTCATACTTAAATTCGACACTTTATGCCTAAGTTTAAACAAAGACATTAATTATCTTACCCATTACAAAGATAGCTTCCCAATTATCACCTCTAATATCATTAGCTCACAGACATTTACCTCCCTCCCCATCCCTCTTCTGTTCTGAAATTTGATTTGTCCTTTTCATATGTGTTCATTGTTTTAATTGTATCCTTTGGTATATATGGTTGTGACAATTTTCTTCCACTATTTGAGCTGAGGAAATGGGTCTGGCCCAGGAAAGCTCATCATCTAATAAACCATCTTGTTAGTCTTTAAAGTGCTACATAGTCCTGTTTTTTGTTTGAACTGGCATGTAACTAGTTCACAAAACTGGGGTGTGTGTGTTGGGGAAATTCAGGGAGGTGAAGGCTAGAACTATAACAGAGTTTAAAGAGAAGTGAGATAAAGTCATGGAGGTTGGGTCCATGGAGTGGTATTAGCCAGGGGGTAGGAATGGTGTCCCTGGCCTCTGTTTGTGGAAGGCTGGAGATGGATGGCACGAGACAAATGGCTTGGTCATTGTTTTCAGTCCATCCCCTCCCGGGTAGCTGGTGTTGAAATGTGTCAGCAGACAGGCTTACAGGGAACGCTGGCTACAGCGGTGGGAAAACCTTTCCCTCCAGTCTAGGTCTATGTGGCCAGACTGCTGCCCCATGCAGCGCCCTGGCCGCGGGGCTGGGTCTGGCGCTGGGGCGCGAAGAGGAGGGGGGAGGGCAACAGAAGAGATGAGGCAGGAACCTGAATCCAGGGCTGCGCAAAAGGAGGCGCCAGCGCGATCCCCGCCCACTCAGATACCATCGGCCGCCTCAGGGCTGGTGGAAAGGGGCGCTGGGCAACTCGGAAGGGGCCCTGTGGGGGGGAAGTCACTGTGGGACCCCCGCCCGCAGCCGAGCCCCGGGAGGAAGCAACGCCTTCTCCCGCCTCCTGTGTGTGTGTGGGGGGGGGGGGGGGGGGGCAGCCGG